GAGAGGAGGCTTTCCTCCAGCAACCAGCCTATATGCATCAGGAGGAAGGGAAGGGAAGGGAAAGGACCCCCCCCACACACACTTTCTAACAGAGACAAGAGGCACCCACCTGGCCATTGGATTTGGAGGGAGAGACCGATACGGCCTCTGCCGACTTCTGGGCGATCACGTCTCCTTTCGCTGCCTTGGAGCCCTGGCTTCCCATGTCTGCGCGATGGACAAGCCAAATCCCCCGCCCGGGAAAAAAAAAGCAAACCAAAAAACAGGGGGAAAAAAAGCCAAGAGAGAGAAAGAGAGCAGCTGGGGGAGGCGCCCCGAGACCCCGCCGCGCTGTCGGATCAGCGTCGTCCTCCTTCAAGCCGAGGGAGAAAAAGTAAAGCCCTTGCCCCAAAGCGCCGGGGAGGAAAGTCCCGGGCTGCTAATGCCAAAGCCCAGTGCGGAGCGCGTGGGGCGGGGGTCAAGGGCCCCCGGCGGGGAGAGATCGGCCCCTGGCAGCAGGCAGGTCCCGGCCGGGCTCGGCAGCTCCGCGCACCCAAATGGAGAGAAACCCCCGCGCCCGCTAATAAGCGCGCAAAGCAGCGGGGCGTGGCGGACATTTAAATGCCCGCCCAATGGGAGGTGCCGGCTGCTGAGCCCCCCGCACAAAGGGAAGGGCCAAGGGCCAGGGAAGGGCCTGGTCCCGGTCCCCCCATGCAAGGGGTTGGGAGGCCATGTAGGGGTCAGGGGTGCTAGGTAAGGCGGTCCCCACCTGGGTGTTGCTGCTGCTCGCGGGTGTCGCTTGCACGGGGATCCCGGGCCCCGCTCCCCCCCGCGGGCCTCGGCCGGGGTGAAACTGACCAGCTGTTTCCCTCTGCCCTGGCGGAGCTCCCTCCCGCACAAAGCCGGTCTCCAGGTGGCTGCTGAGGAGCGCAGCAATGGGCGGCTTGCCCGGCTTCAAAAACACGCCTCTGCCTCAAATGTTGTGCACGTAGGTTTGTTGCACCTCCTCACCCTTTGCAAATGCCTGGATCTGGAAGGAGGTGGCCTAAGGGTAAATATTGTAGCAGTGGTGGCCTTAGGGTTGTTGGGGCCCCGGGCAAGAGTCATTTGGGGCCCCTTCGAGGCTTAATTTTGATGACCTATAAGCAGGTCGGACACTTGCTGCAAAATTTCGGGGTCCTGGGTGCTTGCCTGGTTTGCCCTCCCCTAAGTCTGACACTGGTTGTAGCCCCCATGGTCTGGAAATGATGCCAGGGCAAGGATTTCTGAGGTTGATCGCTTTTGTTGGACTAACTATGTAGTTGGGATGAAATTAGCTGACCTTTCCCATGCAAGACGTTCTTTCTTTGGGGCCTCTAAGAAGAGCCCTTTTTCTTTGCCCTCCGCCTCTATATGCCTGCTTTTGTGCAATGGAGGGCACTTGGTGTCTGGTTTGTTTCATAGTCTCTCCCCCACGCACATACATCCCCTACCCCCAGTCGTGCCAAACTTGTTTTGCTCTGTGAGTGGATCTTTCATAGGGCAAGATAAGGGGGGGAAAAAAGGCTTTAAGCAAACTAGCAAAATGTCAGAGTGGAAACCAGCCCCCAAAATATCCAGGGCTAATGGCTGCAAGTGAACCTACATGGAACTTTTTCATTTTCATTTGCTGAAATTTCCCATTGACGCTGCCCCTGACATCACTGGAAAGCAATGTTAGAACTTGGTGAAGGAAACTGGACTATGGGCTTTGTTTCTGGAGGTGCTGAGCCCCCGGTGTCCCTCAGCTGGAATGGATTATGCTCAGCACTTCTGACAATCAAGCTAGGAGTCAGGTTCAAATTGGCCCCATCTGGTTTAAAACGGCCACAATTGATGCTGCCAGCCCTCCCACATGAAGCAGCAGGGAGGCTCAGGGTGTCATGCTCCAGTGAAGGCTATTCCCCAGGCATCGGATAAAGTGAGGTAGCCCCTATGCGTCTCCTGCCTTATAAAAAGCATGGTGTATGGATAGAGAATAGGTAAGTCTAAAGAGACGGGGTTAGAGTATCATGGTCCCAATGGGTTGCTCAGCTACTGGGCCTTTGTACTCTGCCATCATGCCTCCTGTGGGGGAGTCATTTAGCAATTGCACAGCAGCTTTGCACTCCTGCAGGAGTGAGGTGCTCCCATCTCCCTTATCAGGGACGCTTATCTTGTACTTGTGTGCCTCATTCCTCCCTAGCCTCATAGTTATCCTGGCTTTGGCCAGTGAAGGAACAAGATCAGTGTCTCCCTGCAAGGAGTTAATGCTTAGCCTTACTTTGCCCTACGTGTAGCTTTAGCTTCAGGAGGAGCAGGACATCCTAGTGCAACCAGCTGTGCGCTGCTGCAATAAGGGGGTAGGATCAAGGCCAGCATCTGGGCTGGAAAACAATGGCATGTTGTATTTGTTTTACCAACAAGGTCATGTTTTGTCTTCCCTTCCCCCGCCCCCCACTGCTGGAGCAAAATATCCGTGTTAATTAAAATAGACCTCATCTTCCTTATTGACTCTTGGTTGTCAGTTGATAAAGCCTTTGAATGGGTGCCATGTGTCTTTTCATTTGTCCTCCTGATCTTTAATCCATATGTTAAAATCTGGAGTTGCCCAATGGGCCATAAGGGCAGTGAAGGGGCCATTGAGGATTTATAGGACTTAACTGAATGCCTCCGTTTAGAATTCTAAATTCTCAAGCCCTTGTGAGCTCCAGAGAGCTGAAGGGTGGGTTTCAATGAATCCCTTAGGCAGCATCAGATAAAAACACTGCTTTTTTGAGTTCAGCACCACAAAATATTTTATTCTTAAAAGAGGAACATGGGTGCAAAGCTTCTTTGCTTTACGTGCTGGGACACACGCACACAAAAAGAAAACAGCCAGGGAATATGGTGTTATGGGTGCCTCTTCTCACTGCAGCAGGAGTGTCAGCTCTGCCCTGATTTCTGGGCTGGGCCCATTCCTGTGCAATCCTCCCCATTGCTAAACTGCAGCTAATTCATTTTCCAAAACTTTTGGAGCATGTTCACAACTGTGTTCATGAATATGGGTGAGTTTACTGCCAGGAGGATTCATTTTCTTCTGTCTCCCCACAGAATGGACACGGCCTGGACAGATGCAGTGCGAGTTTCTCCCGCGCCGCATCACCCTATGCGTCTGTCCCCTTACCTGGAGAGAGCACCTGGACTAAGGAGAGAATTCAGTCCATTCACTCCTCTGTGTTGCTGGGATGGATGCTGAGGCACGCTGCAGGACCAGGCTTTGTGGAATGGGACTGATGCCATCAGTTTGCAGAAGCCATCAAACAGTCACGAGATGGTCTAGTCTTCACTGCACCTCAAACTATGGTAAGCGTAACTATAGTCAGACCTGCACAGCCAGGCGGCGTTTACAGCCAACCGTTCAATATTCCATCTAAAAAATGTATCAGCCTTTATGGCCTGTCTAGACCTGCTGCCTGCTCTGTTGCTATTGTTGCCTTCTGAGAAATGGAGGGCAGCTATCCCATGTTGATTGCTTTAGCTGGCAATACAAAGGGGTAGAAAGCTGCAGAGTGTTCTCCAAGGCACCCCTCAGTGCACCCTGGCACGGACATCTGAGAGATGAGAGGATTGGCCAACCTGAATTCAAAGACGTGAGTAAATAGGCGGGATAGGCAGCAGTGGCAGGACATGTCAGATCCCACATGCAGCCTGATTGTTATGTTAATGAGAACCCAGTTTTCAGGCAAGGTCAAAATGCAGGATCCTTCAGTTGTCTGGGGGCACTGATTGGTAACAGCTGTAACCTCAGTCACAGTGGTTGGAGTAGAGCGGCTTTTCGAGTCGCTGCTAAGCTTAGCTGGCTTTGAAACTGCCGCACAAAAATGAAAGCTTTTTACCGGTCTCTTGAGCAATCCACTCTCCCCTTGTGCCTGTTTGTTGTTCTAGCACATGAATAATATTATGTTCACCTGGCTTGATAGTCAACAGGGGTGACACTCATGTGAAGTGTGTGCAAATGCCTGTCTTCACCTGAAGTCCTGGTGAAGAATTTGGCACTCTAGAGCCCCTGCTACATCTTAGATCAGGGGCGGGCAATTATTTTGGGCAGAGGGCCACTTACTGCATTTTGGCAAGCCATCGAGGGCCACATGACAGGCAGCCCAGGTTAGATTAATATTAATTTTCTAAATTTTTTAGGGTCCCGCGGGCCAGATGGAATGGCCTGGTGGGCTGCATCTGGCCCACGGGATGCATTTTGCCCACCCCTGCCTTGGATGTATTAATTAATGAACTGGTTAAACATGCAATAAATTTAGACCAGCCACACTGGCAAAGTAATTAGCACACGATAAAAACGACTGCCCAGCTACAAAAAGAGCCGACCAGCTATCAAGTTAGTGCTTGAATATGTGTAGCAACTCTATCACTGGTTTCTATCCAGCTTTCATTTGAGCAGGGCCCTAGAAATGAAATGACAGCTAGAAGAACCAAAACCAGGGCTGGAAACAGGATTGACAGTGAAATGTCTCTCAATCTTGCTGACATTTCCCTGCGTGGGCAAGAGCTGTCCTCCTTCGGTGTGGGTGGAGATAAAGCTGTGTCCTGTAGTCTGCCTTGCCTGTGTTGAGTGCTGTATGCGTTTGTGTTTTGCTGTGGAGGGGCTTCATCCTCTGAAAGTGAGATCTAAGGAGCCGTCCTGGCGTCTCCTGGACGCCATTCTCTGCTGCTGCTTTGTGTTCTCTATTACATCTCATCTACCCCAGCGAAAGTCCTGGTCAGTCTTTGCCAGTTTGTCGGAGCAGGGGTTTTGCTGCATAATGCCTTAATGACTGGAATGCAATGGGGAGTCAGTGGAGCAGGAGCACTGCCTGTGCCTTACCAAACACAATCCATCCCTTCCTCTCCCTGGTAGCTGTTTGCTAGGAAGGGATTTTCCTCAATGAAGCAATAGGCTGGCAATGTCGGAGTGACAGGGCTTGTTTAGCAGAAGGAGAGGATTTATTGGAAATGCGGGGGGGAACCCCATTCTGAGAGCCGTGCCCCTGGGGTATTGTGTAGCTTCACTGGTGCTACTTGCTGGCTGGAGCTCTGCTCACAGGGTTTTCCCCTTCTGTGTCCCCCCTCCCCCCTGTGCAGAACCCAGATCCCTTTTTCATTTTGCTCCAGGGGAGAAACTGCTTTACACCCCGCTGCACCCCTGCCACAGTGATCATGGGCCAGAGCTAAAGTGATGGGAGGCAGATGTGATGTTTCTAAAGGGCAAACTTTAGCATGATTAGCGAGGTCAAGATGCAGCCCTGCTGGGGAGGGGGAAATGGCCCCTTTCATCATCATCATCATCATCATGGATGCACTAGATCTTGCTTATATTTTGACAGAAGCTTTCATCCCAAAAGATCCCTGACCACCAAGTCGCTCTTGTTTTAGAAAGGACTTTAAATCCCCCCTTCTTCTGGGAAGCCAACAAGGAATGCATTTCCTCTGGATTTCCCACTGTTTCCCATCATCTTGTCTGCTCTGTCTGTTCTTTATATATCGTTGATGCTGGATTTCACTAGGACTGGGGCTTTTTTTCTGCCTGCAGTAGGAAATCTTGCTGCAGTGTCGGCACTCTGATCCTCACCTGAGATGTGCCCGGGACCCCGAGAGCAGTGGTCTGCCTGGGTAGCTCTGATTGCAAATTTTGGCCGTGTTCTGACTGAGGGGCAGGGACTGCTTTCTTGTTGTTTTGTATGGGGCAGAGCACATTGCTAGATGGCATGGCAAAACTCTGCACTAATCTAAAAGGTCTCTGAAATGCAGCTACCTCTGGGATGCGGAGCTGCAGCCTGCTTTCAGCAAGCCAGCACCCTGCAGGAGAGTCAAACTCACTGATGTCACCACTAATCCTTTCACTGCTTTGAATGGGCTTTGGGCAAGTGCCAAAAGTCACATGGTGCAGGAGACATGGGCAAGTCTGTCTACCTGTTTTTTCCATGTGATGCTCATGGCTAAAAGTCCTCATGGAGGAGAGGTCTGTGCTGATGTTACTTTTCTGTTTTCAGAGCCTAGTTAAAGCACCAAAGATTATTAATTTATTCCGTGTTAAGAGCTGACAGCCTCCAGGAGACAGACGCAAACATTGTTCCTGCCTCAGGAGCTCAGACTCCAGCTAGATGGACAGCACCATTTGCAGCCTCACACCCTGACCCTGTCTCCTTTGTTATTCATCCAGCTTGCATTTAAGAATTAACGCGATTATTTATTCATTTATATGGCGTCTTTCACAAGTGTCTTCTCATCTGCTAGTGGATCTTAACTGAGTCAGAGGCAGCCCCACCAGGATAGACAATGCCACTTGGCATAAAGGAGAAGGCTTTCCATTTTGCTTTAAAAATAGCAACGGAATTAGCTAATTAGATCTCTCTGGGGAGAGAATTCCAGCAGGAAGAACACAGGCCAAAGCTGCACTCCTTTGAATGTGCGGAGGGGAAAGGGTGAACTGGAACATCCTAGCATTGGCAGAGCTCAAGTGTGGAAATACTCGGGGCTCTTTAGAGACGGGGCTGAAACCTCGGCGTTCAGTTGGCTCCTCGATCCACACCTAAGCCTCTGTGACCGGCAGAGATTGTACCACTTTAAATGTACCTGTGCGTGGTTCAAGCAGTGCAATGTGTAGATGCAGTTATATCAACAGACAGGCTCCTGTTGACACAGTGTAAAGGTGATTTCCGCAAAATGGCTATCTAAAAACTAAGCACCGGTACTGTTGCGCTGCTGATGTAGCTGTCGGTGATCTCTGCATAGTTCTAACTATGAATACAAGAATGCATAGTTGTCTGAACATGCGGACAGTTAGCTTGGTGTTCAGATGTGCTCAGCCGTGTCAACACTACAGGCATCTTCTGGCATCCCTCTGTTTTGGGGTTAGAAAAGGTGTGATCCCTGACTGACAGCTGTGCAGCCAGAAGCCTTTAGCGTAGCTGTCATTATGTTGGCAAAACCATTCTTCTCCCAGCCTAGGTTTTACGATACCAGGCTACCACGTGCCTCTGCCAGTGGCCATATTATACAGCTGTTCCTCTATTAGTGTTCCTCATATAATGGACATAAGGACTTAGCCCCTCTGGTTAAGTCCAACAAACCTGTTTTCCACTCTCCTTGCTGATTAATGAAAAAGCAGGGTAATAGCATGAGTAACAAGGGCGGTAGATCAGGAAGTAGCGTGAGGATGGAGTAAGTGGAGAAAGCAGTCAGGAGATTATTGCAATAATTGGTGACTGACACCCGTGCAGCCAGGAACCTCAAAGCATTTTGCAAGAGTGTGTGCGTGTCACTTGCTGCTTGGAGAAATCCAGGATGGGAAAGTGACTTGTCCACGGACTCGGTGCTGGGAAATCCTCTTGCAGAAGCGGCCTTTGTTTCTGTGAGTTTAATTCACTTCCAAAAAGAACTAGGGTGGATATGCAGGGGGGGAATGTACTAAGGCTCTTGGCCTAGATTAATTTAGCTTTCCCTTCTGATGTGTCCTCATGCAGATGTGCCCTGTGAGGCCACTCACTGACTTGGATGCAGATGCCCCACTGCAGTAGCAGAGACTATTGACCAACACACTAAAACATTCCCATTTCAGGAACTTGGAGCTAGATGCAGACAAAAAGGGTCTTGGGTATATAACAGTGCACACCAGGCCAACTGCATGTGTATGGCTATCAAGTGGCTTGGGCAGGATCTCACCATTACTTTCCACTCAATCAAGTAGGGCACTATTTGGAGCTAAAGCCTTGAGTAATAGCCCTTGGACCAAGAGGGCACTCAGGTATACACATGGGAATTGGCTGAGATTATGGCAGAGATGGTCTAGGTGGTTGTCTGGTGCCTGCGTGAAAACAGGGCCTAGATTAACACCAGCCCTGGTGCCAAGACTGACTGTTGGGGTCTGGCTACGCCAGCCCCAGTTTCATCCATCTCTACCCTAGTGTTGGGTGACTCCGTGCTGCCCAGGCACTTTCACTAGAGACAGCAGCATTATGCCAAGGCGCTTGGGAGTCCGTTCTGCTTTGACGCTGGTATCTGGTAGAGGGAATCATCAATGACCTTTACTTTCTGTGGAGCTGCCAAGGAAAATAATGGGCTAAAGGTGGAGGGGAGGGGAGGAGGACATCAAGAGTGCTGAGAATTGCACGATCCAAATTCACTCTCTCTCCTGTCATACGCAAGAGATTACAGCATAGCCCACAATGGCCGGATTGTCTGTGCCTTTGAAATGCACCTGGGCGGGAGGCTGGTTTGGTTTCCGTAGAATATGATTGCAATTGGGTATTGGAGGCTTTCAAGATAGGAGGTGGCTTTGGGAGGTGACCTTTCCTGTTTTTGCCGGGTGA